AGACGCAGGACAAGAGCAATCCGTCAGGTGGACAGGGGGACAGACTTCCGGACACACAAGAGCAGTGAAGCACAGTGACATCGGGCAGAGACTCAGGAGAGAGACTCAGGAGAGAGACTCAGGAGAGAGAGGAGGGAGAGAGAGGAGGGAGAGAGAGGAGGGAGAGAGGAGGGACAGGGACGGAGCAGGACCGGAGACAGAGACCGCACCGGAGCTGCTGTGTGCGCCTCAGGGCGTCCTGCAGGTCGATCAGTTTCTCCTTGTACTGGTTCCTCTCCATCACCACCCTGGCCATCTCCGAGCGGGAGAAGCGCTGGCGCAGGGAGAGTGGGAGGGAGGCCTGCGGGAGAGAGGGGACTGTGACCGCAGTGACCAGAGTGACCGCAGTGACCAGAGTGACCAGAGTGACCGCAGTGACCAGAGTGACTAACACGACTGCAGTGACCAGAGTGACCGCAGGGACCAGAGTGACCACAGGGACTAACAGGACTGCAGTGACCAGAGTGACCGCAGTGACCAGAGTGACTAACACGACTGCAGTGACCAGAGTGACCAACGTGACTGCAGTGACCAACGTGACCGCAGTGACCAACACAACTGCAGTGACCAGAGTGACCGCAGTGACCAGAGTGACCGCAGAGACTACAAAGACACCAGTCACTACAGTGTCCGCAGGGACCCCCGAGACCGCTGCACACAAGACACACAAACACGTCTGTTTCCTAGAGTTTCCTAGATCTTGAGCTCCTCTCTCACCTCTGGGTCCTCGCTCTGACACTCGTCCAGCTCTTTACGAAGCCTAGGAAACAAGTTGACGGAGAGAGAAGCTCGATTAGTATCATTCACACACATCACTTCTGGAGGCTGCACAGCTGCGAAAGGCAGCCTCTCAATCCCCACTTCCCAAAGGCCTTGAACTGTCTGGCTGTAGTGCAACAGACCGACAGTTTGAAACACCTCAGTCTTCCGCCTCACAAGCCTTTTCGTACGGGAGATGGGGAGACTGGTCATGAATTCTGCTGCCATCTAGTGTTCCGGAGGTACTACAGCAGCCTGAGATCCTGCTGCCCCCTGCTGGGCACGCTGTGTCACTGCACCACATGCTAAACAAGTGCTGTCCTGCCAACCAGTGTCTCAGTGTGTCGCTACAGCCTACAAAAATAAACTTTATGAAGGGCCAGTGAGTGATCATGGGTAAGTAAGTGATCATAAGCTGCAGTGACAGGATCGGGAAAGGTTTGTGGGAGGTACTTCCTGATCGCTCACCGCCTCACTTCCTCCTCCATCTCCTTCAGTTTTCCCTCCAATCGGGCAACAGTCTCCTGGGCAGATCCCACCTCCAGGCTCAGGGCTGCTCTCTCATTGGTCAGTTCCTCCACCCTGGAAATTAAAGCTCTGCGCGCAGCGTCTACCAGCTCACTGAGGCGAAAGGCGAGGCACAGAGGAGGAGACAGAACACAGAAGCGGAAACTATGAGCCCCGAACTCTACAGCAGCTCAGTGGCAACACCAGTAATAACTCTGAGAACAACGGCTTACTGGGTGGATTTCAGCTCCTCATACTGGGACAGAATTTCCTCTAACTGGTCAACAGAACCTTCAGAGGGAAACAGACAAGAGAAGTTGGGTTAATACAGACACGCTGATAAGGAATCCATCCAGAATGATCTATCAGTGTTTCACATGAACACTCCTCCCCATCAGAGCTGGAGATACTGGAGAGACACTCAGTCCAGCTCCTCTGTAACTTCACATGAACACCCCCCCCCATCAGAGCTGGAGATACTGGAGAGACACTCAGTCCAGCTCCTCTGTAACTTCACATGAACACCCCTCCCCATCAGAGCAGGAGATACTGGAGAGACACTCAGTCCAGCTCCTCTGTAACTTCACAT